AAATAGTTTAACAAATTATTGTGCTCACAAGGTAGTAACTTAGTCTGAAATGTTTAATATAACAACTCTAGAGTGATATGAACAGATTTGTTTCACTATTTGACAAGAAACTGGTCAGTTTTGTGTCTGTCACCCTTAACTAATGCATAATAAGCTGGTAATGATTTATAAAGTGTTTATAGAGGAATTAATAATGTATCTATAAACTATTAGCCATCTATAAGGGGAGCCTTATTGTGAAGTGGTACCATTTGCTCTTCTGTCCCTTTAATACCAGCTAATAACAGGATATGTGCTTTAATTTAGTTCTGGTGGTCAATGTTCAAGACATGACTCGCCTAAAGACGTTTTAAAAACTATCCCAGAAAGTAGATCCATTTGAGCCTTAAAATGTTTAAGATTAGATCCTGAGCCAACAGGATGTTTCATATGCAGCTTCTTCAGTCTCACCTTGGTGAAAAGTCTCCACCACTGCCAGTTCCTCAGTTTCAGATAAGCTGCACAGTTTCTCTGGATGACCTTCATGGCGGTCAGCTGCTGCTGCCTCTTGGTGAAGGCTCTGAGAGTTACAAAAATAAAAGTATTTCCTGAACATGACAGGGATTCAGGACCAGCAGACTGCAGCAACAAAAGGAGCTCTGCAGAAGGGAGTGGCGAGCGACAGATTTGAACTTCCTACTTGCGGGCTACGTATCCTCTGCACCAGGCCTGGAAGCTGATGATCACAACGGTGATCTTCATGTCTCTCTCCTCCTCCAGGTGAGCCAGGACTCCAGCCCTGAAGAACACTTTACTCTGACCGATACGGTACATGTTTGGGTCCAGCTCCAGAGCTTTGATCTGTCAGAGGAGTGAGGAGCATGACCATTTATTGTAAGTCTGCAGGGCATGAAGAAGAGAAGACCAGGATTGCTCTTACCATGAGCACGCAGGCTTGCTTCCCGTCCATGAATCCTTTGGGGATGGCATTTGGAGTGAGGATTTCATACCTGAGACACAAAATGACTCCACCATGATTCAACACATTCAGTGCAAAGAATCAGACCTTTTATAATTCTGTCGTCTGTCACCTCTGTCTGAACTCCTGGAAGACTATGCGGTTGGGGAAACCCTGCCTGCAGATTCGGATCCCCTCCAAGACTCCATTACACCTCAGCTGGTCCAGAACCAGGTGAGGGTCCAGTTTACCAGCCTGATGGAGGCAACAGAGCACAGTTGAAGTTCCTGGTCTTGGATCTACTCTCATTACATGAATCAGGTTCTGCAGCACTAGACCACCATCTCCTGCTGTGTACCTTCTTCTCGTGGTTGGGGATGATGCAGCGGACGAAGTTTGGGTTGGTGTTCCTCAGGGTAGTCATGAGGTTCCCCAGCTGCTCCTTGTACAGCTGGCCAACAGTGCGGAACATACCTTTACGGGTTCTGAACATTCCCTGGTTCGAGTCAGACATTCCTGCCACCTTATCCAGGCCAACGATGTTGTCCTCTGTGGAAACACAACAAAGTGTCAAAGACACAATCACACCACACAGTGCTGCATCCAGAATTTATCTTTTGTGGGGGCCACTGAAAATCCTGGGGTGGCACACAAAAATAAAAATCAAGAACAGAACGTCAGGAGGTTTGTTGTCATATATGTGATTTGACAAATATATCAATGCTGTAGTTAGATACACCATAAATATGCCTACTTTAGTTTTATTTACCATTTTAATTAGTAATAAACACACCATTATTACTAATCTTATTGCAGCTTGTCCTCTCCTAAAACTATCATCCTTAAAATATGCATATAGCCCACAGAGACCCTGGATCCTGATCAGTTTTTGGTCTTCTTTATTCAAGTTTTATTTTAAATACATTTTTTTTTTTTTTTTTTTTTTAAGCCTTTATTTATCCAGGTTAGTCTCATTGAGCCACGAGAACTCATTTTCAAGAGAGACCTGTTTTTTTTTTTATAGGGAGCACATGGTGGGGGTTAAGGGCCTTGCTCATGGGCCCAGAGTGGGGTGAATGAGGGTGGGGGCAAGTGTGGGTGTTTCACCTACCCCACCCACAATTTTTGATGTTGTCGGGGCCGGGACGTGAACCGGCGATCTTCGGATCACAAGCCCACCTCCTTAATAACTACTTGCTAAAATAAATATGTTAGAGGTTATTCTAATCATATGAGCTAAGTTGAATCAAAAAAGCACACAAAGCCAAAACTTGATGAATAATGGGGGGGGGGGGGGGGGGGTGTGGGGGTGGCCATTGCCCCCTGGCCCTGCTTTGGTGGCACCCCTGCAGCCACATTTAAAGTCAGCCTTAAATGTAGCTCAACTTGTTTAATTACATTCCTGACGCACAGCGGTGTGACATTGTGCACGAGTTTAGTGCACTGCTTACTGTCTCTCCACAGGTCTGCAGTGAACTTGTCGGTGGACTGGCTGAGCAACGTGACCACAGACTCGTTCAGGGGGTCCATGTTCTTCATCAACCAGCTGTCTGCCTTGTAGTCCACCTGTGTCAGAAAAACGTTCAGAGTGAAGGATACAAGCAACACTCCACCCTTCCAAGTGCATTTCTGCATCAAAATTAGCACCAACCAATTTTATTAAACTGTCGGGGTGTGGGGGAGTAAAGATAATGTATGTAAAATCATACGTAATAATTTATAAAAACAAACGTTATCCAACCTTTCCTGCATAGTGTATAACGCAGAAATCTGAGTCATCTTTGAGTTTCTTGGGCTTCATGAATTTGGAATGACTTCCTTGCTCCTGCTCCAGTTTATCCACAAAGGTCTTGTCGGTGGCTTTAGGGAACCAGCACTCTTCGTCCAGCAGAGCCAGGATGCCTGGAGGACCAGCCTGTGGGGAACAAACAGCAGGATGGAGCCTGACTGCCAGGACTATGTGCACATGTTTAGGCATCAGTTTATTTTACACAAACGTTTGCTGCAGGAGAAAAGAAAAAGTTAAGACGACACTCAAGGCCTGTAATTAAACAAGTGATGTGTCCAGAGGGAGAAGAAACTGAATGGTCGTACGGGTTTCTCTATGAGATCAATGCAGGGCTGCAGGTCGAGGCCGAAGTCGATGAAGCTCCACTCGATGCCCTCCCTCTGATACTCCTCCTGCTCCAGGACGAACATGGTGTGGTTGAAGAGCTGCTGCAGCTTCTCGTTGGTGTAGTTGATGCACAGCTGCTCGAATGAGTTCAGCTGCAGGAATGAAGCAGAGCAATGATCAGCCAAATTATTAACTCCAGCACAAAACACACCACTCAGTCATTTGACTCACGGTAAATGAAACACAAGAATAAATAAACAAACAATGCAAAATATGCGAGAGAGGAGCATTATACTCTCCTCATTTATTCTCTCCTGTTAAAACTGAGGCAACAGATCCATTTACCAACCAATAACAGGCGACTTAATTTAATCGCCGACCGATAACAGGCGACTTAATTTAAATACAGACAGATAACAGGCGACTTAATTTAATTGCTGACCGATTACAGGTGACTTAATTTTATTGCCGATAGATAACAGATGACTTAATTTAAATACCGACCGATAACAGGCAACTTAATTTAATTGCCAACCGATAACAGACGACTTAATTTAATTGCAGAAAGATAACAGGTGACTTAATTTTATTGCCGATAGACAACAGGCGACTTAATTTAGGTTGTTTTCACACCTGATAATCCGGTAGACTCGGTTCGGTTCGGTACCAATACTCATGACATTTTGTTTACATTTGAACTGGTGCGTTTGCATTCACACTGCACTGTGCAGTCGAGTCAACCTGTTCCCCACTCGACTGTGGGGGCGCTGCACCAAGAACTACTGAAAGAAACGACACAAAAAACCTCTGAAGACACTTCATCTTATTCTGTAAATAAAAACAAAAATGGAGTGGCATCAAGTTTTAGCAGTTATATTTTGTCATTTTTCAACAATGGACTCAGCATGAGCAGAAGATGAGACAGAAGACCATGGAGAATATTGTTTTTCCACACAAGGCAGCTGACGGCTCCATATAAAGGTCAGAGAAATGCGTGTTTGTTTGTCCTGCGCTGTTGCTTGTGGAGCGGGTCCGGTCTGTTTACATTCACACTGTACTCGAACCGCGCTGGAGTTCTCTTCTACCGGACCGAGACCTAGGTTTTAGCCCGGGCCAAAGTTTGCCTTTTTGTTCCATGACAGAGTTCGATGGTGCGTTCACACCTCCCTAAACAAACCGGACTTTCTAGGAAAACGAGCTAGAGTTCGATTAAAGTGGACTAAACAGGGCTGGTGTGAATGCACCCTTAAATGCAGACCAATAACAGGCAAATTCATTTAAAATCCAACTTTAATTTTCTAAGACGTGTCATAGTGGTCAGATTATTTTGAATATAGTGTTGATCATGCATTACTCAACGTTCACTGCACTTTGATGAGTCACAATTTAGTTCAGATTACAAATAGAGAGGTTCGGATGTTTCACCAGTAAAGTTACGCTTTTAAAAATCAGAAGGTGTTAAAGTGATCCTTCAAATCTTTTTAAGTGAAGTTCTGTGGAGATCAAAGTTCATGCTCAGTAATCCAGGTTAAAAAAAAAAAAAACAAAAAAAAAACAACAATGTTCAGTCAGGTCATCTGGACGGTTTCTTCTGTTGAGATGTTTCGTCCTTCGTCCAAAGGACTTCATCAATCCGAGGAGCCACAAACAAACTCAGTCCCACAAGCAGCACACACATTGTGGACCAACGAATTTGCTGGTTATAAAATTATTTCTGGGGCCCGCCCTCTCCCCCGTCGACTCCTCTGACGGCCCTGAGGCAGCCACATGCCACACTCATTTTAATAACCACAGGTCTGTAAATATTAATGTCAATTTGACAGTAAAGGTTTTTCACATGAACTAAAATGAAACATTTGAGATTTATTATTTTGGTCGTAGCTGGATTCAAACAAACATCAGCTGCATCTGGTCAGACAAAGGTATTTATCAGGTTGTTCAGAACGGCTTCCCCAAAAACTGAGATCAGTTCTTAAAGACATCTTCACAAAAAAAAAAAAAAAAAAAACTCTTCAAAAGATCAGATGTATAATTTTAAAGTTGCAAACTGGATTTGAATCAAACTCTTTCAAACATTTTTTTCTAAGGATCTGCTGCGGCGGGTGGGGGGGGGGGGGGTGCACCTAGTACAGATTAATGGACAATGTACTACTGACTTGAAGTTTATTTCCACGTTACAATAAACATTCAGACTTAAACTGTCTCAGCATTCTAGAAACAGGAACCATTTTATCTGAGAAGAAAAAAAAAGTCAGAGATCAAATGCTTGTTGGAGATGACTCGGTGTGTCCTGATCCGCTGGTCACATTCTGAAACTTTCATGTTTCTTTTAGCAACTTCAGTGAATCCCGCTACATTTAGAGGACTGGTCAAACATTAGCATACATCCTTACAGTTCAGTTATTTGGGAGTCGTATCGATCAGTTACTGGGGTTGGGGGTTTGTGTTCAAAGTGCAACAAAGCTATAATTTAGCAATATTCAGGTGGTGTCAAGTCCAGAGCAGCTCACCTCAAAGATCTCAAATCCTGCAATGTCTAGGATCCCAATGAAAGACGCTCCCGTCCTCTTTGTTTTATCCAGAGCCTTGTTGATTCTCAGCACCAGCCAGCGAAACATCCTCTCATAAGAAGCTTTGGCCAGAGCCTCAACAGCAAACTCTGCCTGCTCCTGGGTCTGCGCCTTCTGAACGTAGTCCCTGCCAACCTGGAAGGAAAGGAAGACGCTCACGTCGGGCTGAAGACACAGGTTTAAGGGAATCGACTAAAAGCATCTTGTAGGTAGCTGGAGGAGAGTTAACGTCACAGACTGTGAATATGGCTGAGCTGAGCACACCTTGATTCTGGGAGTCAGGATGGCTCGAGTGAAGTCCGTCACGTTGACACTCAGCAGGTGACACACTTTCTGAGCAGCTGAGGGTGAAAATACGTTACAGGATGAAATGAAACGTTCCGTCTGAAACAGAAAGCGGAGGAAAAGATTGTGTGTACCGGTGTCATCAGGCATGGACGCCTGGTCCGTGTTACGCTCCTTCTTGAAGGTCATGTTCCCCAACTGCAGCACAGCAGAGACCACCTTCAGCAGGCCTGACGAACAGTAAATAAATACAAACTACTAGTCAGACTTCTTGTGATGAACTAACAGGTTTGTTCATCTAACTTTAAAAAAAGAAAAAGAAAATCAGTTAGTAATTTAAAATAGGTCAAGCGTGTTAAACTGTGGAAACTTACAGCAATTAAGGTCATTGTGCTGCAACTTTCACTCAAGTTAAAAATGTATATTTTGAAAAGTACCGATTATTTCCTCTTCTGGGATGCTCATGATCCTAAAGGCCTCCATGGTTTCAGTGAACATCTCTTTGTCTTGTTGTCCCGGGATGGTCACGTGTCCGTTGGACAGGAAACGGTACTTTTTGTAATCCTCCAGGCACAAATCAGCTGGATTGTGATGAGAGAGAGAGAAGGGGTTTGATTGACCGGTTCTTTTGTTTTAGTGGAGTTAGAGACTTAAGAGTCTGGAGTAAACCTTGTTTTGCTATTAAAGACAATAGATTTTCAAGTTAACAAGTGGACAGTTTTTCCCATCTGGCTCAATTTTAAAGCATTAAAATGATTTTTACACGACCATGTCTCATTTTAACAATTCACCTGAAATTTGTAAAGATGTTTAAAATTTCACAGTTTATGTAGATGATCCCTTCATGTTCAAGCTGCGAAACTTCACGGTGGTTTAAGGTTCACTTTATCTCTGAACTACGGCTACTCTGTCAACATTTTACAAAGGTCGAGAATTTAACAGCCGAGACTTAATAGACAGAAATCCCGAGTACACAAGTTCAGATATTTCAAGTTCCAGTTTGCATTTAGACTTGTTAAGTTAAGCAGGTGGATCCGTTCACGTCAATCTTTATTTCTTAAGTTTATAGGACGACCAGAAAAGGCCGACCGCCTCGAACTGCAGGCTGACATTCTATCACAACTTTCTGTTTTTTTGGAGTGAGTTTTGGAAAAAAATAAAAATAAAAGTTTCCCTACCAACAAACCATTTGAGAAAAATATACTTTAACATTTAAGCATATCTACCAGTTATAGTCAAAATAATGAAAATCGCTCCAAATGTACTTGAAAGATTGAAACTGTGAAGGAGAGTCTGCGAAGAAGCTAATGCTAACTGGGAGAGCAGCAAAGAGCTCTGCTTTTTCCCCCAGTCATGTTCACAATGAGCATCAGGATCAAAACAAATATCGTAATTTCTGGACTATAAGCTGCTACTTTTCCCACAGGCATTGAACATCATGACTTAAACAATGCTGCAACTAATTTATTGTTTTTTTTTGTTGTTTTTTTTAAACCAACTAATGAGCTTCATTCTGCCAAAATGTTTAGTCTCATCACACCCGCTCACATAGCTGCCCAATACACATCTCTCTTGGGGCGGGGGGGGGGGGGGGGGGGGGGGGGTCCTTGTGATTCAATAAGACTACCTGTATAAATAAAGATTAAACAAACAAACATAATCTGACCAACAGGTCACAGTGGACCAAGGAAACGTTAAAATTACCGTGAATCAAACGCACTCACACTAAATTCTTCAGATCAGTTATTTTGCACTTCACGCACACACCCTCATCGAGGAAAACATGAAGAAAAGTCAAAGAAGGAAACTGAGCTGCTGCACGGACGCTTGGCGTCAATGAATCGATGGTGAGACGGCAGAGTGAAGAACTGAATCGATGCAAAAAGACAACAAAATCTTTCAGAGGTAAAAAAAAAAAGCAGATGGCCCGATCTTGAAAACCTTCTTGAAGACTGGATGAACACACAGAGCAGACGACCGAGGTGTTTCCACCGAGCAGATCCGACTGAAAGCCAAAACAATCATCAGCGAAAACAAAATAAAAAAAAATTTAGATTTTTTTTTTTAAACATAGCGATCAGTGACTTTTCCTGGTAGGTTACTGTTTTTTTTTTTTGTTCGTTTCCCCCCCATTCAGCCTCGCTACCAGCACTATTCAGAAATAAACATTTATTGTACGTATTTGTGTATGTTGCCGGTAAGTATTTAAAAGTTTTTATAATATTTCTGTGTAAATATCTCATGTTACAACGTGGACACCCACAGCTTATAGACACGTGTGGCCCATACATGTAAAAAATTATTATTTTTTGTAGTGGATGCAACTTCTTGTTGGGTATGCTCAATAGTCCGGAAATTACGGTACACAATAGAGGTGTGTTATTATACATTAAATCACTAGAATGAGCCAATATCAGCAGGATAGGGCTACAGCAAGGACACCAGCTGACATCCATCTAAACAGAGAGAAATTAATTTTTTCCAAATGTAGATAAACTAGAAAACATTCCAACAAAAGGACTGTGTTCATAATTATCTTCTGAATCAATAAATCCATTCCTTGGTGTGTATTTTGTAGACAAAGCCTAATTTGTTTGCTCCGTCCTTTATTCAAATGCATTTAAATAAGAAAAGAATGCAAAATGTGTGGAGTAAAATTGAAGCGCAGTGATTTACTGAAGTCCGTCACCACTGCAGGGTGACAAACGATCCTTTAACGTCCTCATGTTCTTATGATCTGCTTCTTTACAAACGCTCTTGTTTGTGCTGCTCTTCATAAGCAGCACTTGAAGCCATCACGGCTGCACCGACTCATCTGACATGATCTCATTTAACCACAAGCCACTTCACGTCTGCGCATGTTCTTTGGTAAAAGCCTTTACAGTCATGCACACGTTTAGCAAATGGCATTTTGCAACTTCCTGTTTATTGCATCCATGTTGAAATAAAAGGGTTTGTGCTCACAGCGCATCTTGTCTCCGGCTCCTGTTAGTATGTAGTAGAAGACATGGAAGCTCCTCTCCTCTTTAGCCTGTCTGATGGCTCGAGACTTCTCCAGCAGATCTGAGCTTTCAGTCAAGAACAATTTAGTTTAACAGTAAAGTGCATTTTCCTCACATGTACAATCCTCATTATCTCTGGAAATCCTGTGAATTAAATAAAATAGCGGCGTGGTTCTGGGATTTTGTTCTTAATTAGTCGATGAAATTCAGGTCTCTTTTGTAAATGAGTCCCCGAGGCTCAATGAGATTAACCTGTATAAATAAAAGGTTGAATGAATGCAGATTTGGTTTCTGTGAAAAAGGATACAAGTTTCAATGTTGGCTCCAACGATGTACCCGTTGACATCAAAGTTGATCCGGATGAATTTTCCCTTTAAGAACAAATAAATGTTGATAAGCAGCATTACGTAAGGAAAGTTTATTTATATAGCAGCTTTCATTAAATATATATCACAAAGTGCTTCACAATAAAAGAAAACGAAAGTTACGTATGTAACTACGGTTCTATGAATCCCGGATGACCGCCAGAGGGCGGTGCTGAAAGCACTGAATGTTCCCTTCGCGCATGCGCTGATTCGAGTAATAATACCAACGGAGTCACAGGTGTGACACGGATGACCAATCAGAGGCTATATAGCCCGACGTCATCCGCTGCTCTGCTCCTACAGAATCTTCTCGCGAAACGCAAGGATTCTGAGTGACGGAGAAGCTCTGGCGGTCATCCGGGATTCATAGAACCGTAGTTACATACGTAACTTTCGTTCTATTTCATCCCTCCTGACCGCCAGAGGGCGGTGCTGAAAGCACTGAATGACTAATATCAACGATGTCACAAGGAATCCTAACACCTACCTCACTGAGGAGGCCCAGAGGACCCTTGTAGAAGAACCTGGCCCAGGGGATGAGGGGTGGCCACGTTAACTCTATAAAATCTGGTGAACGTGCTTGGGGAAGCCCATGATGCAGCAGCACATATTGCTTCCAGCGGAACCCCTCTCAGGGCAGCCCAGGAAGCGGAGACGCTCCTGGTAGAGTGAGCCTTCAAGCCGACCGGGAGGGAGCCGGGCCCTGCAGCATAGGCGTGGCAGATGACGTCCACGATCCAGTGGGAGAGGCGCTGTTTGGAAAGAGGACAGCCTAACCTAGGGCCTCCATAACACACAAACAGCTGGTCTGAATGTCTTATCACGGCAGTAGCTGCAACATATGCCTCCAGTGCCCTTACCGGGCACAATAATGCAGACCCCTCACCAGGTGCAGGCTGAAAACGTGCCAGCCTCAACGGTTGGTTAGAGTGAGAGTGAGACAACACCTTTGGTACGAATGCAATGTTTGGCCACAAGGTAACACACGAGCCCTCAGGGCCCCACCTGAGACATGAGGGGCTGATTGAGAGAGCATGTAGCTCGCTGACCCTCTTTGCTGAGGTAATAGCCAACAAAAAAGCCGTCTTACATGAAAGCCACTTGAGGTCCGCCTGCGACAGAGGCTCGAAAGGAGGACGGCACAGAGCTTCGAGAACCAAGGGAAGGTCCCAACCTGGTGCTCGTGGAGCTGTTGGCGGGTGTGACCTACGGGCACCACGCAGAAAAAGAGAGACTAGATTATGGCTCCCTACCGTACAGCCATCAATGCCAGTGTGATTAGATGATATTGCCGCTACATAAACTTTAAGCGTCGAAGGACAGCGACCCTTACCAAGTAGAGACTGGAGAAACTCCAGAATGGTGGGTATTGTACAGGAGACTGGATCCTTGTTGTGATCCGAACACCATTGGGAAAACAGGCGCCACCTGTTTTCGTACTGCTGACGAGTAGAGGGTGCCCTGGCGCCCAGGATGGTGCGTCTGACGGGGCTCGAAACTCCAGTCAGCTGCTGTCCTAGCCTTGCAGTGGCCACACCCACAGCCGAAGACGTTGAGGATTGGGGTGCCATATCAGTCCCCCCAACTGAGACAGCAAGTCCCTTCTGGTCGGAAGACACCATGGGACGCCCTGACATAGACTTCGTAGCAGTGGGAACCATGGTCGCGCTGGCCAATACGGAGCCACCAGCAGCATCCTGTGGCCCTCCTCGAGGACTCTCTGAAGGGTTGGCCAAATTAGAGAAAGGGGTGGAAAGGCATATTGAAGGACCCTTGGCCAAGGATGAGCCAATGCGTCCTGGCCTAGCGCACCCGACGCCCCCGTAAGAGAGTACCATAGGGGACACTGAGTCGACTCTTCCGTCGCAAACAGGTCTATCTCTGCCTGACCAAAACGGTCCCAGATCATCAGCACTATGTCTCTGTGGAGGGACCACTCTCCCGGAGGGGACTCTTGGCGGGAGAGAAAATCTGCGACCTGATTGTGTCGCCCTGGCAAGTACGCTGCCCGCAGGGTGGACAGGCGAGGAGAGGCCCATTCCAGGAGCTCTCTGGACACACTCAGAAGTTGTGCTGACCTGGTGCCCCCCTGATGGTTGATGTGGTAGACAACAGAGGTGTTGTCCGACCGAACAAGTACATGCCTCCCTTCCAGGTGAGGCAGGAAGTGCCTGAGTGCCAAGTGCACTGCACGCAGCTCCAGCACATTTATATGCTTGGAATGGTCTCTTTGACCCCAGCGGCCCTGAACCGCTCTGCGTTGCCATACAGCCCCCCATCCCATGGAGCTGGCATCCGTTGTGACCACTTCCCTGCGACACACTACCACTCCCATGGGGACACCCCTGGACAAATAATCTTCGTCCCTCCATGGAGTCAAGGCATGAAGACATGACCACGTCACTGCGAGCTTGCGATGCCTGTGCAGCCTGGCATCCAGGCGAAAGCTGTTGAGCCACCTCTGCAAGGGGCGAAGTGACAGCAGGCCTAAGGGCACCACCCGAGTGACTGATGTCAGCTTGCCGAGTAGTTGCAGGAAGGCAACATAGGGGAGCTGCTTGCCCAGCCTGAACCGATTGACCAGCTGGAGTATGCCGGCCACCCTTTGAGCGGATGGGCGAGCTCTCATTGAAGATGAATCCAGAACCACCCCAAGAAAGGTGGTCGTCTGGGAAGGGATCAGGCAGCTCTTCTCCAGGTTGACATTGAGGCCTAACTGGGACATATGAGCGAGCAGGTGGTTTGTGTCGTGAAAGGCACAGGCCTGAGACGGGGCGCAGAGAAGCCAATCGTCTAAGTACGGCAGAATCTTCACTCCGCAGGCCTGCAGAGGAGAGAGGGCTGCCTTCACGCACCGAGTGAACACCCTTGGGGAGAGAGAGAGCCCGAATGGAAGTACCCGGAACTGCCAGTGGTGACCCCGATAGGCAAACCTGAGAAAGCGGCGATGTTCTGCCGCAATAGGCACATGAAAATATGCATCCTTCAGGTCTACAGACGTGAACCATTCTTCCCTTGTGACAGCTTGAAGGACTTCTGCTGTTGTGAGCATGTGGAAGGGCAGCTCCTTTAGGTACTGGTTGAGTCCCCTCAGGTCTAAAATGGGACGAAACCCGCCCGTCTTCTTTTGCACAAGGAAGTAAGTCGAGTAATAGCCCCTGGGTTGTTGCAGAGGGTCCACTGCCTCTATTGCGCCCTTGGCCAGGAGGGCGGAAAGTTCCTGGTCTAGTGCTTGAGCTTTCACCGGGTCGGCGATTACAGTCATCTTGACCCGGCCTGAGATACGAGGCCGCCGTCGGAACTGTAGCCGGTAACCATGGGTCAGAGTGGCAACCACCCATGGGTCCACGGCGTGAGCAACCCAATAGCTGAGCTGCTGGTGGGAGAAATATCCGACGGTCGGCCTGATGGCATCACCGTCTCCCTCCACGACCCCTAGGGGCCGTGGGGGGGCGGCAGCCAGAGTCCCTGGTCCGAGCCTGCCCAGCTGGTCGGTGGACCAACCCACGAGAGCTCCTGCTGGGCCTTTGCTGAACCGCATGAGGGTAAGGACCACCCGGCCGGTTATGACCCCCAGGCGGCGGCTGCATGCTGGAGCCAGCCGACAGGCGCCTTGGATGCCGAGGAGGTGGAGGGGGCATTGGCCTGCTAAGGCTCGAAAATTGCTGCCTTCTCTGTCGTGCCTGGACAGTCCGTTCCAGTGCTTCCAAGGCAGCCGAACCGAACAACTCCCCCGGCACCACTGGGACATTACGGAGGGCTCTACGGCATGGCTCAGTCAACGCTGACTGAGCTAACCAGACCTGTCGGCGAGCTTGGACCAAGGAGGACATCACACGCCCAAGCTCCCTCGTCATTAGTGCAAAGGCCTGAAGCGCTGCATCGTTAAAGCCCATCGCTGCTGTCGCACCACTAGTCCCCTGAAGGGACGCGGAGAGGGCAAGCATTAGGTGTGCCAAGGAATTACCTAGGCGGCCAGCACGCGCTCCGGCGGCATAGGCTCTGCAGAGGAATTCATCCGTGACACGACACTGAGCTCGTGGGCACCGAACATGACTGCGCAGAGCTTCATCTGGTGACACGATGAGAGAGGCAACAGCAGGTTCTATCGCTGGCATGCGATCCAAGCCTGCTGCAGCCGGCTCATGCATGGCCGCCAACACTCTGCCATCTGCAGAGAGGCGCGCAAAGGCCTTGGGGTCCCGCCAGCAACCATGCAACTCCCTCAGGAACTCCTCTGATGGAGGGACAGAAAAGGAAGGAGGGGTCAGTCCGCGCCTGAAGAAGGCACTTCCAGGGGTGGACGCCTCTGGTTGCGGGACGTCCAGCTGCAGTTGTCTCAGGGCCATACGCATAATGTCCTGCATCGAGCCGTCACCCGACCCACTAACTGCACTCCGAGAAGAAGAGAGTGAAGCTGTCTCTGAGACTCGAGATGAATGCCCGTCCTCCTCACCTAAAAAGTGAGAGGCAGAGGCAGCCAAGGATAGCACATCCTCCTCCACAGCCAGTTCAGGCATGGGTGGGGAGGAGAGTCCAGTTGCTGCCACTGGTTCAGTTCCCAGTTGGTGTACCTGAAAAAGGGACTTCATCTCCGCTAATTCAGCGGAGAGCTGCTCCACCCTTGTGGAGAGGCCCCTATCAGACCTGGCTCGCTTCTTCCCAGGAGGGGCCACAGAAACTGCGGCCTCAGTCCGGCGCTTCGAGCGCCTAGGTGGAGCCTCCTGCCCAGAAGGCGGGAGGTCATCGCCGAGTTTGGGGCGAAACTGGGCCAGCCGGGCCGCCCTCACAGCATGCGACATGAAGCTGCAATTCATGCAGGGGTTCTCTGACAGGGCATCCACCAGATGGTCATGTCCAAGGCAGGCAGGACACAGGTCGTGACCGTCATCTATCTGGAGCATGGCTCCACAGACTGTACAGCAGTGAGAGCCGTCCATGCTCCTTACCCAGCTATGCCCAAGATATTCAGAGGGGCTAGCACCACTAGCTCAGCTGTTAAAAGAGGACAATTGGGAGAGGGGGCACGAACGCTCGCCTTCACCAATCAAACAAGGTCAAAACTCAGAGAGGCTAGCACCACTAGCTCAACTGGTAAAAGAAGACAATTGGGAGAGGGGGCGCGAACGCTCGCCTTCACCAATGAAAACAAGATTAGAACACAGAGAGGCTAGCACCACTAGCTCAACTGGTAAAAGAGGACAATTGGGAG